GGGGACAGGGACCAGGGCGGGTTGGATAGAAGGCAGGGGAGTTCAGGGTGGTGGTGAGGGGGTGGGGGGTGGATGGGGTCAGGGCAGACAGAGGGCGGGGAACAGGGAGGTTGAATGGGGGCAGGGGTCCTGGGGGGCAGTCAGGAAGGAGGGGGGGTTGGATGGGGTGGCGGGGGGCAGTCAGGGGCGGGGGTTCCAGGGCGAGTCAGGGGACGGGGGGGTTGGATGGGGCAGGAGTCCCGGGGGGAGGGGCCGTCAGGGGGCAAGAAGCAGGAGGCGGATAGGGGGTGGGGGCTGGGCCACACACCCCTCCCCTAACCGGCCCTTCATACAATTTACGAAACCTGAAGCAGCCCTCAGGCCAAAAAGTTTGCCTGGCCCTGAGATAGACAGACTCCCATTTCAATAGGAATTGCTCATATGGAACAACTGCATAAATGAGCTTCAGATGGGTCACAGATGTTTCCAACTACACAATCCTAAGAAAATCCATATCTCATAAACCTTGACTTGTATAGAATATTCCTGGCTTTCCTCTTTCACTCATTTCTACTCTATTCCTTTGTGTTCTCTCTCTTTTCTTTCTCTATCCCCCGCCCATGCACACATTGGCTCTTTGTGGCCCTTTCTGTCTCATCCCACTGCTGTCTGTTACCCTCCAAGGCCCTCTCACTGTCATTTGTTACACAAATCCCTAGTGTCAGTTCCATGTGCAGCCACATCCAAACAAAGAAGGGAAATAATTTGCTGTCTTTCCAGACTACTATTTTAAGACAGTAGCATGTCACACAACTGACTCACTCCACTGGCAGCCGGGGTATCCTTGTGTCAAAAATCATGATAAGATGCTCCTGAAAGGGTCCCTGGCAAGAAGGCTGCAGAATACAGCTCAGCTGGCAAGTGTATGTGATGAGAGGAACAGATGCTATATGAATGTATTGCTATATTTATGCAACAAAAAGATGTATCCTCCTTCCCCTGGCTGGCACCCCACTGGGGCTTGGGACCAGGAGTCCAGGGATGCTTGGATCTACAGAGGAAAGTGGCTCCAAGGGTTGCCCCATTCCCTTGTCTCTGACTGACATTCAGGGGCCAAGGAGAGGATAAGGGACGTAGCAGGTAGACCTCAATGTAGATTACGAAATTGTTAACATAATTTATTCTTAGAATACTAGGTTATCACAAACTTACCTTTACTGATTTTTTAAGAGATAAAATTATTTTCAGAAACATGACGCTTGGAGAATGACAGCTTACATGCTTATGTTTTGGTTGGTTGTTCAATTATTTGAAATAGTCAAGCTAGTTAAGAAAATTCCTAGGAGGTCTTTGCTTTCTGTCAATGTGACAGCCCCCAAATGTCAAGGAAAATAACAACTCAGCCATTAAATCTTGTTTGTTACCTCCAAGTGTGTTTACACAGACTCTGAAGTGCAGCTTTATAACTTCTATTTTGCATTAAAATTCTGTATTATTTGATGTTATACCCTGTTTTCAAAGATCTGTAAAAGCATTAGTTATTAAGATTTGCGGATTCATATAGAATATTTGATAGGAGCCTTTAACTGCAAATTGTAAATGTACTGCCAATGGAAGGTCGTAAATCTAGGAACCACTTGGTCAAAAAGGTTTTAAAGGTGACATCTGCATATTCCAAGAACAACTGATGGGCAATATAAATGTAGAATATACTATCTCTTCAAATAGTTTATGAGCTTTTTAGTGGTTCTCACTGTGTTCTGTGTTCTAGAAGATCTCTGAACCCAGCCAGAGCAGAAATATAGCTGGCCTTACATGTTGTTTCTATATAATAAGCATGGTTATATGGATTCCCCATGCCCATCTGGTTTCTTTATATTATGCTATTGTGTAAACAGCAAAAGCCACAACAGTAATGAATGTTCCAAAGGACAGTCCTGGTCCTATAGCTTTTAGTTTTACACATGAGTAAAGAGCAGGCCCAGCAGCAGTGAGAAGGGCATTCAGCACATAACCAAGTTAAACTTTAGTTAATGGCTACTTAGCGTGTTAAGATAAGGGTAATCAAATCTCATGCTTCAGGCAAATGCTGGTGTCAGGAAAAAGACTTTTCTTCTACACACAGGATTGTACAATTATGTAGATACACTAATTTAGACTTTGATGGACCAACGATGTACTGCACTTCAACAAATCCTATGTGAGTTTGCCTCCTCTCGATCCTTCTGTGTTGCAACTGTGATGAAACCCCACTAGAACAAGGAGCTGGCCTGTGGAGGAGTCAGTGATGTTTTTTACTACGTGGCTGATTTTTGTAATATATTTACCCTTATTTTATAGCCCACGACCAGTGACTGCCTCCATTCTGTGCCGTGGCTCTACTTCTGAGCCCTTTGTCATCTGAACTGGTGTAAAACAAGGCTGTGTACTGGCAGCCACCCTTTTCTCCATTTTCTAAGCAGCTATGAAAACGTTAACCCAAGATGGTTTGCCACAGGGCATTGGCATCCAATATTGGACTGACGGCAACCTTTTCAACCTTTCTCATCTCCATGCCAGAACTGAAGTAATATCAGCAACAATAACCAAACTCCACTCCGCAGATTATTGTGCTGTAGTTGCACACTCAGTGGAGGATCTACAAACAGGACACGAGAGGTTTCCTTTTTAACTTTACTAATACTAAACACACAGGCCATGAGAAAGCAACCAGACCTGAAGAAGACCTCTGTATAAGCTCAAAAGCTTCTCTCTTACCAACAGAAGTTGGTACATTAAGAGATATTACCTCATCCTCCTTGTCACTCATGAGAAAGAAAACATTTATATTTATTTTGTAACATCAATTCTCTCTCTCCAATATCTTATTTTTTGGAACTTGAGAACAAACCATTACAGAGCGCTTTCAAATAAATTTCCTACACATAGAGATATATTTATATACCATGTTTGAAGGGACACCATTAATATAAACTATCACATTTCTGCCTGAAAATGTTTTTCTGACTATTGTTGCAAGCAACATCTAAAACTACAAAGAAATTAGAGGGAAAAAATCTGTTTCAGTTCATTTACTTTGTGCATTTGTCAGTACTTACTAGATAGTCACTTTCACTGTATCTCTTTTTGCCATATCTCCTGCTTGCCAGAGGCTTCACACAGTATTAGGGTATGGACAAACTTTTTTAAAAATGGGAAAATGTGATTATAGTACAAAACTTGGCAAGAGGACTTAAGGGGAACTGGAGGAAAGCAGCAATTTGCACTGACTGAGTTTACCCCTCCTTGAAACTGGATTTATCTCAGCCAATGCTAATCACAGCTTCCTTGGTCTGTGGTAGGGGGGCAAGATTTTTTTAAAAATCCATAGTTTGGCACCTAAATTAATGGTATGATTTTCAAAAGTCCTGAACACCCAGCAACTGAAAATCAGGTTTTAGGCCTTGAGCTATTTAGGATTTAGGAGCTTAACTTTAGGTTCATAGTTTTGAAAATCTTAGACGGATGCAGTTGAACTCCATTGTGGGCCACCAATGATTGAAATCAGGGCTAATCCTTACTGTAGACAAGGATTTGGGTGCTCAGTAAGTGTTATGCTCTTCAGCATCACTTGCTGAAAATACTAAAATGCATACTAGTGCAATTATGTGTGCAATTGCTCATTTTAATCATGCAGCTCATGCTCATTTGTTTGAAAATTTAGCCCTTCTTAATGTAGATATCCGGCATCATTCTCCGCTTGTGCTGCATCTTCTAAACCAGGGGAGGCCAGCCTGTGGCTCTTCAGAAGTTAATATGCAGCTCCTTGTATAGGCACTGACTCTGGGGCTGGAGCTACAGACACCAACTTTCCAATGTGCCGGGGCGCTCACTGCTCAACCCCTGGCTCTGCCACAGGCCCTGCCCTCACTCCACCCCTTCCCGCCTTCTCCCCTGAGCTTGCCCTGTCCTCGCTGGCACCCTCCCCCCATGCCAGGAAACAGCTGATCAGGAGGTGGGGGAGTGAGAGGGAGGCGCTGATTGGTGGGTGGGAGGCACTGGGGAGTGTGTGGGGGGGAGGCTGCTGACGTATTACTGTGGCTCTTTGGCAATGTAAATCTGTGAATTCTGGCTCCTTCTCAGGCTTAGGTTGGCCACCCCGTTCTAAAACATGATTTTGTTTGATACCTAAATTTCTGCATTGTTTAGTTTTTGCTTCATTTAGTGTCTTGAAAAGTTTCATCTTTGACTGTTTGCATCTTGAGCTGCTTCACTTAGTTCCCTGAAGAACTAATGGACACAGAGCTGTCTTGCAGCCTGTGAACTGTTGTACAGCCGTGTTTGCTTTGTCTTAGCTGGAATATAGATTTGTTTGCCAAACAGGATGTCCCAGCCAAGGCCTTCAAGGAGATGACTAGAGCAGTGCGAAAACGTTCACTCTGGAGGCGATGTTATAGGGTTGATATGAAATTAAACAGGCAACCCCAACATTACCTCCTCTGTCAATTCCCACTCAGACCCTGGCAAGTCCTTTTGAACTGGGCCACTGACTCATGACAGGCGGAGGGCACCTTTACAGCGGCCCGCTTTCCTGCCCTGGCAACATCTTCTTTCTTTCCTTCTGTATCTCCCCCCTTCCCGTCCTTCCTCTGTATCTCCCCCTCCGACTTTTCTTCTTTCCCGCCCGGGGGGCCCAGGGCCCGCAGCTAAACTAGTGGCTGCTCTGCCCTCAGCGGCTGCGTGAGGGTTTGATGGGGGCATAAGGCGCCTTTTAGGACCAGCGCCGGTTGCTCCTACCAGCTTCCCCGCGCCGCCTCAGCCTGCAGCCTCCCCGGCCCGGGGCAGCCCTGCGGGACGGGCGGGGGTCGCTGCTGCACGGGAGCCTGGGGCTCGGAGCTCGAGCCGCGGGCCTGTGCGGGGGGAGACAGACAGGCGGGCCGGGGAGGGGAAGGTTGAAGGCGGGGAGGAGGGGCTGGGCTGGGCTTTCTAGGCAGCGCTTCCACTTCCTGGCCCCGCGAGTGCAGCGCAGTCCCGCAGCAGCGCAGTCCCGCAGCGGCTGCGTCCGCGGCCGCGCCACTAGCCCCGGGCTCCGCGCCGCGCGGGATGCGCAGCGGCCGCAGCCCCAGAGAAGGGTTCCCCGGGCGCCGGGCAGCGAAACGGGTCCCCTCCCGCCAGCCCCGGCATGGTGGTGCGGCCGCTGCTGCGGGCCGTGATCATGGGCCCGCCGGGCTCCGGCAAGGGCACCGTGTCCTCCCGCATAGTCAAGCACTTCGCCCTGAAGCACCTCTCCAGCGGGGACCTGCTCCGGGACAACCTGCAGAGAAGGACAGGTAGGGGCGGGCAGGGGGCCCAGGCAGCGGCCGCCGTGTCTCCTCCCAGAGGCTGCCGACCCTGCAGCGCCGGGGGCCGGGGGCCGGCTGGTTAGCGAAAGTCATTTTGAAGGGGGGATGGTTGCGCTGGCACAGGGAGGCTCCGAAGCCCAGTAAGTCCCTGTGTTCCCAGCCTCCCCGCCCCTGGCTGTGGCATTTATCCTGCCCCTGTCGCCAAGGCAGAGGAGTTTCTAGGAGCTGCCGTGTGTACTGACCGCCCAGCTCCTCGCTCCTGAATAAACTGCCTGTAGCCTCAGCTGTTTGGGTAATGGGGATCCTGCAGTCCCCTGGCTCCCTCGCCTAGATCTGAGCTTGAATTCCCTTCGGGGACCGTGTGGGCCCTTTGTCCTTCTGAGATCGGTAAATCAAAATAGCCTGTGGTTTGGGGAATGGGTCTTCGGCCATTCAGTTCACCGCACTCAGTGAAGAGTTTGCCTGGGTGTCCTTGGCCATAACTCCCTTGTTCAGATTGCATGCGAGTTGCATGCATGCCATAATCCATTCCTGCTGCCAGGGGTTTACACTTCAGTGGTGAAACAGTTACATGCTTGGTAACAAATGTCCAGTATTTGAGATGTCTGGCATATCTTTCCCCCAGAGGTACTGAGTGCTCACATCTCTGATGGACTTCAGTTGAAGTGGGTGCTCTAAAAACCAGGACCCAAGTTACTGACTTTGGAATGACTTCACAGTTAGCGGGGGACTTCTGAAGACTTGGGCCATAGTTTGTAAAGTGCATTGAGTTCTTTTGGGTTGAAAGGTGTTACATAAATGCATGACATGATTAATTATAAGATCAACTGGGAGGGGGAGAGTGAGCCCAGAAGAAGACAACAGCTCCTTCTCCTTTCAGAGACTCCAAAGGTTGGTAAGAGGGAGTTAGGTTAGGTGATGCAAATTGGGAGAGCTGAACTGGTGAAACGCAGGGGGGCCTTTTTGGTCACGTGTTTAAATTAAATAACATACTTAAAAGGTGTTGAGGTGCTGAGAAACAAATCTTATGTGTACATATAGTTAAGTAGAAACACAATAATCTGGAGGTAAGGGGATAGATTTAGTGTCCCAAATAACTGGTTAAGCAGTCACAATTCATAATAGTGAAACACTGCTTCTTGGCAGTGATACTGATGCCTTAAGGCTTTTGTTGAATTCTGGGCTGTCATACTTTTTCTTGTATGAACCATATCTTAATAGAGATATTATCTTATGAAACATGTCCCTTCTCATTCATGATCACATAACATTCCAGGGGCAACTACAGTCACAGTTTATTGGGGAAAGTAATGGTTTTATTATTAGAAGCATTTTTAGCTGTACTTTAATTCCCTTTCCTAGACAGTATCATGTTATCCACAAGACACCCTCCCCGCATCCTTGTAGTCCATTTGATTGCAATTTGGTAGGTGGGGTAAGGTACAGTCCTGACACCACAGATGAAATGTTGATAGCTTTAAAGCGGAGGGCTTTATCAGGAACCAGCAGAAATGAGGTTAATATTAATTGTGCACATTTATAAAATACAAATGGTCATCTGTGTTTCACCTCTTTCTAACGTTTTGTTAAAAATAGATGAAACATTGATTGTGGCTGGACTCTATATGCAGTATAGGTTAAAGCATTCCCCTTTATTTTTCGTACGGTGTTAGTTGTCTGCAGAGGGTTTTTATGTGTTTGCTTTGGCAGCTGGTATGAAACTCATTTAATGTATGAATATCTCTGTGGAATATTTATATGAGGATTTTAATGTCTTGAAAGCACTTGGATATAAAGCAGTGTTCAGCAAAATCATGCTTGAAGTGAGTGCTCAGTAAAAGTACAGCATATTGCTCGGTGTTTAGTTCTTGTGGTTTTAATATTAAATGGTATCTTAAACTAGACTTTTAGATGTTGTCCCTGGAAAAGGCATAAAAAGTGTCACAAGCACACACTGAAGTTCCATCTATTCTGCATCAAAAGGAGTTGAGATGACCCCCTAAGTTAGGGAAATATTTAAAGGTGCTCACTTCTGTCATGGTTGTGTTGGTAAGCTCCCCTCCCGCCAAACCATATTAACCAAACATTATTTGACTATTTAGTGACATAGGCCAAGATTTTCAGAAGTATCTAGTGATTTTGAGGTGCCTCAAATACTGGATGCCCAAACTGAGAGGTATTAAGAGGTCTGCCTTTTCAGAAAGTGCTAAGTACTTTCTCTTTCAAAATCAGGCCTCTTTAAGATGTCTCAGGTTGGCCTGCCAGAAAATGAGGAGCCTGAAATCAGTAATTGCTTTTCAGAATGTTGCCTTACTCTTAAGTGTCTTTTAAAAACAAAACAAAAAAGACCAAACCCCTAATATTACCCTGTCCACAAGTAGCTGTTGTAACTGTGTCAGCAGTGACTGTTTAAAAAACAATGGGCAGAATTTTCAAACGTGGGTATTGTCCACACTAACATTTTAATTGTTTGTAAGCCGTTGGTGGCATTGTTGGGTTTAAACATAGCTACGCTGCGTGTGGGTAATAACAGATGAATAATAGTCGTGATGTCAGTTGATGGTCTTACCCCTGTCAGAGTCTGACGGTATGTCTTCACTACCAACGCTAAAGTGCTGCTGTGTCAGCACATTAACGTGGCTGTGTTGTCAAGGCACCAGCGCTGGGAGACAGCGCTGTAAAAAAAAACACCCCACCCCCATGAGGGGAGTAGCTCCCAGCAGCTGCAAAGATCATTTTCCTTGCCTGTTGCTTTGACTATGTCGGCCCCTATGCATCCCTTCACTGGCTCTCCCTTTTCTGTCACATCAAACATAAGTTACTTGCCTTTACATTCAAGGCCCTGCTTGGCCTATTTCCTCCCCCGCTCCCCACCTATTATCTCTCATTGAGATGTCAACTTCCTCCTCTGATCAGCATATGATCCCAGACTCTATTGCTCCCTTGTTAAATTTTCAGAGGAGCACTATTGTTCTTTCTCCTGTGCTGCCTCTCACACTAGGTAGGTGCTCACTGTAAACATCTGCAAAGCTACTTCTTTATTCAAATTCCTTCTTAAAAAGTCTTATTTGCTATGATGCCTGTAACTAACTGGACAGTGGTTAGGCTGCTCTTATGCTATCATGCGACCACTGCCTATCATGCTGACCAATATTGTCTCATTGTTTCCTTGTATTCCTGCATCAGTCTGTCTGTAGTTATCTGTTGTTGTTCTGTGCTTAGGTTGTAAGTTCTTTGAGGCTGTGTTTGTATGGCTCCTACCACACTGGGGTCCTGGAATGGGGCTCCTAGGTGCTTAAGAAATGGGGAGATGTTTTAAGAAGCCTGCTAGGCATCTAGATGAGATGTTGGCGATGCAAAACTAAACAGAATGGGAGAAATCAGGGTCAGGGAGGTAGGTTTTGGGGATGTAAAGGTGGTAGCTGAAGCCATGAGAGAAGATAACATCTAGGGAGTGAGCATAGATTGGGAACACGAGGATAAAACCCTAAGCAATACCAACACAGAAGGATCAGGAGGAGAAACAGGAGTTGTCAAAGACACTGAAGGAGCAGCCAGCTCAGGAGGAGGAGAACCAAGGGAACACTGAGTTATGGAAATACCAGGAAGAGTCGGAGAAATGCAATGGAGAAATGGAGAAGGAGAATAGAGAAGAGACTTTTGGAAGGAGTTATATAGCAAGTTCTGGATCCCTTAGATTTTGTTCACTGGGAGGCCATTGGTGACCTTGAGGAGAGCAGAAGCCATCTTGAGTGAGTATCAAGACAGAAGCTAAGAGAGTGGGTGTAGATGGCACACTCAAGAAGTTTGGTGGTAACTGGGAGGAAGGGGATGGATGGGAGGCTCGTTGGAAATGCCTCTCAAAGTTTTAACATTACTATGTAGGAAAATTGGGGGTAACAGTCTTGTTTTCCACAAAGAAACAAATGTTGTGAGTTTTGAAGATAGTGGAAAAAACCCACATTTCTCAATTCTATAGCAGGTCTTCTTTTGAAAATTAAAAAGATTTACAACTGTTTACTAATCCATAGAAGGTTAACTAGAGTTAGACTTTGCCTTTTCAGCAACTGCCACCCTGTTAAAAACTTTGGCAAGAGTTCAGTTGTTGAAGAGAAGAGTCTTATTGAATGCATGTTCTTGAGGGTCCTTAGCAGTCTGCATTTATTATCACGCTTTCCTGCTTTGGAGGGGAGATTTTGTGATGCCTTCTCCGTTGCTAAGCAACCTGTTGCCTGGTGAACATGGTCGAAGTTTGTTGGCTCTGTGCAGTAACTTCCCACAAGGACACCCTAAGCTGTTGCAGAAGTTTTGTAAATAGACATCCATTTTATGCTTTTGGCAGGAACTGAGAATTATAATGGCTCTAGGTCCACAGTTCACCAGATGAAGTCCTACATTATTTTCAGAGGCCCAGATCTGTGTAAAAAATACATGAAGGTTTTGTACCGGTATAACTATTTCAGTTAGCACAACCTTAGGGTGGATGTAGCTATACTGGCATAAAGAGCCTTACACAGATATAAGCTACTCCTGACAGAATTCATATGGCTCACATTTTTCTGTGCCCCACATGCAAAAAAACACACAAGAAATCTGCCAGGGGACACACGCCTCTTCCCCGGCAGCACGCCTGTTCCAATGTGCCTGGAGCAGCCTCAGAGAGGGGGAGGGGGTCTGGGTGTGTGTGCCTGTGTGATGGATCACCGAGGGTGGCGGGGGGGCTACTGAAGCTCGCTGGCGTGGAAGGGTAGAGCTTTTTATTATGCATGAGGCAGACTAGAAACAGAAATGTAGCAGCCTGCCTGAGTTAATTGAGCTCATTCTCTGAGGCAAAAATGTAGCAGCCTGCCTACATAGTAACATTGTTAATGTTCCTATTGTTAGTTAACTGTTCCCATTCTCAGTCAGTACCCCCAGGAGCATAAAACCTGTGAAAGTTTTAAGGCCCTTACATTGCCAGAGTGATGTAAAGGAGCCTTATTATAAATGACAGTAAGGGAATCCTCAGATAGGAAGATCTCTTTGCTTTCTCACTGTTTTCCTGTGCCACAGTGGCACAATGGGGTTAGATTACAGCTCAGAATTTATTTTACTTACCCATTTGAAAACAAAAAAGACTTTGAGGGCAAATAAAACATTTACCAAGCAGTCAATAAAATGTCAGTACAATCAGAATCAAGCACTTCCCAAAGAGCCAGGTCCAGGACAATGATTAGCAAAACTGTATGACTTTCATGTGTGAAAGTCTGAGCAATTTAAAATGGCATTCTACTTGTTTTCTTTCTGTTTGGTGTTCTGTAATGTAATTTAAATGAAAATCCAGGATTATAACTGGAATGCAGGGTATTAGTTACCAAGTGTTTGTAACTTAGCATTTCCTAAACACATGAAAGTTGAATAGTTATTGTGACTTTTTTTTCTGTATTGAAGTTTAAATAAATTACCAAAACAATTGAAACTGGTGTGATTATTGTGCATTATTTTGAAAAATAAAATATGCAGAATTTTGATTTTTTTTGGCACAGAATCCCCCCAGGAGTAGTAAGTTTATTCCCTTCCCTGTCTGCACTTAGGGGGTGTGCCACTTTAATTGCACTAGTATAAGAGATACAATTTGCATGTGTAGACAAGGCCAAAGGTCCTCTGCTGCAGCAAAGTAGTAAGGTATATAAAAGAATAGATCCAGTTCCTTCCCTCTCCCTCTCATATTGAGATCCTCTTTCCAGTTTGCAAAACTCTCCAAGATTTGAAACACTAGGACAACCCTGGTGTTCCTGACACCGCTGCAGTGTTACAACAGGGTTAAAACTAGCATGGTTTTGCTCACAGTACGGACATTTCCCTCCCCGCTGTCCAGAAAAAAAGAAAACCCAGTCCCAATTGCCTTTCGTTTCATTGGTAAATGAAAATAGCTAAACTTGCAGTAGAGTGATGAATCCAACCCTCCATGCTAGTAGCATGGATCTGTAGTGTGTGCCCGCGATGTCAGAATGGGAATTCCCCACACCCCTTACTGCTAGATAGAGCACCTGAGATAAAAGTAATATGGCAGCAGGTGGAGAGTTGACATGCTTTAAAAGTGTATTTTAAAAACGCTTGTTATCTGTCTTTAAGCAGCTACTTGTTTGGCAGTTGCAGAAAGGGAATGTATGTTGTTCCTGCCCTTTTTCCCGAACCACACCCAGAACTAGTTGGGTACAGGATCCGTGCTAGTTGGGGCAAATGGAAATGGTAACAAGGGTGTGGAGCTCTCAGTAATGCTAATAAAGCAGGTTAAGCTAGGCATATGCATGATGAGAGCATGATGTTAGCACTGAGAGCTGGTTTCATGATATTGTTGTGGTGGGAGACACTTCTTTACTAAATTACTTGAACTTGCAGAAAATGAGGGGAATGAAGAAGAGTGAATATTTGGATTTCTGAAATGTGTGACATAGTTTCCCCCAGGATAACACACACAGGACCAGCTTTAACTCAGCTGCATTTCCCTAGTATAACACCTCTTGAATGTGAAACTTTACAGGGTACTAGGTATTTGAGTCAAAGGTTTATAGTCTCTGCAAAATGTGTGTGTATATAGGATGAGGTGAACAGCTACTGTTTATAGGCTTTGCAAAGATTTATAGACTCTGCAAAATGTGTGTATAAAGGATGACGTGGACAATATAAAAATATATTCCTAGCCTGATTGGTATAGTAGTTGGCAGATTAATGCTTTCAGTTGTAGATCCTCTGCTCCTGAACCCCTCCTTCATCTCTGGCCCCGCTAGTAAAGTGATCACTTTGTGCCTGCATGAGAGGTTTTTAGATCCTGGCTATTCTGCTGTTTGCTTTTGCAAGGCTGGAGCAAATACTGTTTGATAAAGTCTTGGAATTTCAATGCATGAGAGTTCTTTTTTCTGAGGAACTGTAGTGCCATTAATTGAGTTCCTGCCCTGTGGCTGCTCAGGGGCACCTACAGTGGAGACCAAGTAGAGTGAGTTTATACAACTAAAACCTAAATTGTCCCACATGCTGTTGTGTGGGAACTGGTGGGACTGCAGAGGAGTGTAATCCCCTGCTTTGTGTTCCCGTATCACCGAAACCTCAGGGCTCCAGCAGAGGGGAATATATGGGGTCCTAGGAGCTCCATTCTGTGGTGGGGAAAGGCTCACCTTCCATTTTATGAAGAAGAGGTTCTCCCACTCCATGTAACTGTATGTAGCTCACCAGGACTAAACTCGTGAGGAACAGATTTCCATGTCTTCTTCCTTCTGTGTAGTGCTGATCATGGTGAGGGAAATCTCTTTGCAATGTAGGCAGAGTAAGGAAAGCTGTGCCATTTGGAGAAGGGTGGGCCAAGAGCACATCCTGGGATAGGAAAGGGGTAGCATGGGTAAAGAAATAGAAGTGTCTGGATTCAAGTTGTTTTGATTTTAAAACTGCCATGACTTTGAATTTGACTGTTCCTAGACTCTGGGGATATTTGAAATCTGGACCTGATTGCTGTGGCAGATGTCCATCTCTAAGTGAGAGTGTTGTGAACAGCCTAGTTGTGAATACGAACACTTTGCCTTAATTAAGGAAGATGTTCCTACCCTTCTATTGCTGCTTTAAAAACAAACAAAACCTGAAGGCCACTTTTTCCAGTGCTTGAGTGCATCAGTTGCATTTGAGCCATCTGAGACTTGCTAAGGAAGGAGCTAGTAATCTGTAAATGAAAAGCTTCTTTTTCTCTTCAGGTTTGCATACTGCCCTCATCACTATAGTACTTGAGTGCCTTCTGATAGTTCTTTAAGCATGCAGAAAACTCTAATTAGAAGAACTGCAGCCAAGACCTTAAAAATTGTAAGGTTTTAGCACTTGTAGTTTTTCGGTGTCTTCCCATTCCCACACAACTCTCCTGTTTGGGGTCCTGTAGCTAGCTCAAGAAGAAAGTAAGTACAGACCATCCCTGGGCTATGCAAGATCCGACTTATGCAAATCTGCACTTACGGAAAATGTTCCATAAGCTAGAAATAGGAGGGTTGGGTTTTTTTGGCATAACGGTCAGGTATATGTTTCCGACTTATGCAGAACTAGAGTTATGCAAAGTGTTCTGGAACAGAATGATTGTATAAATTGGGGAGCATCTGTATCTGAATTAACAGTTATGATCCAGTTCTGCAAATCCCCCACGTATAAAATCAATCAAGTTCCACACTGGGAGGACTGGGTCCTAATTTCATAGTTAAAGGACAGAAGGGACTATTATGATCGTCTAGTTCAGTGGCTCTCAAACTTACATTTCAGCATATAGTATATAGAGCAGTATAAACAAGCCATTGTCTGTATGAAATTTTAGTTTGTACTGACTTTGCTAGGGCTTTTTATGTAGCCTGTTGTAAAACTACGCAAATATCTAGATGAGCTGATGTACCCCCTGGAAGACTTCTGTGTACCCCCAGGAGTACACGTATCCCTGGTTGAGAACCAATGATCTAGTTGACATGGATAACACCAGCCAGAGGACCTCACCAAATAACTTCTACATCAGACCCCTAACTTCTGCTTAAGCTATAGCATATTTACATAGCAATTTGTGAGGGTATGTTTTGTGTGCTTCTTGTTTTTTGAGGAAACCAACCATAATAAACGGTTGCCATCTAACCAAACCAGTGGAGGAGTGCTGGTATTAAATGTTAGTCAATACCATGTGAATACAATAGTGTCCACAAATGATTTATGAAAGCATATATCACTTATAAAAACACTCCTTTGTAAATCTGGATAAAGTGAAAGAAATAACATTCTCTAGCTATAGTGTTTCAGACGCATGTTGCTTTCTTAAATACTCAAGGAGGCATCTAGTTGGAACTTTGATATTGTCTTTTAGTAAAACGTCATCCATCTGAAAAAGACATTAACGTTCACCATACTGTAGAACTTAATGCTAAACTACATGCAGAAAAGTAGTCAATAGGACTGCAACTTTTTGATCAGGAAATATGAGGCAATGTTAGGCCCTTTCATTCTTACTGGACCCAGAGCATTTGTGTTCTTGGTTTGTTCTACCTTTTTAAAGAGGCTCTATTGGTGACTTTCTCCTGTTTCCAGTCCTAGGACCTGATCCTGCAAACACACATGAGTAACTTTACTCAGTGTGAATACCCCCACTGGCATCTGCTCTAAATTGTAGTGAAAATGAGGGGAAAATATTTTTTTCTTAGATTTAAAAAAATATCACACGTCAGTCACTTATAATTCACAGCCCTTCTACCCTCAGGCTTCTGACTAAAGTTATTTGTATCCGGGCTGCTGAGGGGCATTGCTACATTAGTATATGCTTGTTTTGCTTCCATAGAGGTCGGTGTCATTGCCAAGACCTACATCGATCAAGGGCAGCTTATCCCAGATGATATCATGACACGGTTGATGCTGAATGAGCTGAAAAATCTACACCGGTACCACTGGCTGCTGGATGGTAAGTTAAGATACAGGGGGAAATCATTTGCATGTGGGAAAGACAGGAAATGTAGATTGGAAAGATTGTGTTCCTTTCACTTCTAAGACAATTAATGGACACCTAGTAATTATGCCAGGGTCTTGAGAGTCAGAAAATCAGAATTCTGCTTCTGATTCTTCCATTAAACTGCCATGTGACCTTGGGCAAATCACAGCCTCTCTGCCTCAGTTTCCCCATAAGTAAAATGTGGATAATAGTATGTATTCTACTTTATAGGGATAGTGTGAAGCTTAATTAATGTTAATAAAACGTTTTGTTATTCTTGGATGAAAGGTGAAAGATCAAAATGGTATTAGTTCATACAGCGTCTATCACAATGGGGATCTCATCCACGACTGGGGCTCCTAGCTCATATGGTATAATACAAATGGCTGAATTTTTGTTCTAGAATAGTTCAGTTTTTTTTTTTAAAAATCCTTATTCTTTCAGGATATAACCATTCTTTTGGTAAAGTTACAATGTGAAACAGTCAAGCCACAAAATACCAAAACTAAGATTGCACACACAAATTCAGCTGTGCCCTCTTGTATGTATACAATCTATAATTATATGTTCACATACTGGCTTTTCTTTTTCCCCTGAAGGATCTCTATCTTGTTGGAATACATAGGTTTAATCCTGTGAGTGAATGGGGGCAGGAATACCTATTCAATAAGACGGATGTTTTGCAGATCTGTGCCTTACTTTTAACCACATTCAATGTCAGCTGCAACAGCGTGAACCTGAATGTGCAGCCGTACAGCTGACAGCACTCATTGGACAGAATGAAGCAAGGCTCCACAGTTGATACATGCTGTCCCCATGTCCTCTCTCGGTTTAGGTTGCAAACTCTTTTTGGACAGGGACCTTCAGCCAAAATCATCGTTAGTGTAATTCCATGGAGTTCAATAGAGTTTATATGCTATATAAATAATATTGGTCTACTAAACATGTTCATCCGAAAACCCTTAGTTCTGCAACTGCAGTTTGTCATGGGTAGCTCCAGGGCAGACTAAACTGAGTTGTTTACTGAGCTGCTGTAATGCTGATATGGCAAAGTGTGAGTTTCTGCACTCTGAAAACAGTTTATTGGCTTTTACTGAACCACTACAGATGTAGAGACTTGAGGCTTGTAGGCACTGAAGTGACTTTTTTAGAGTAAGGTTTATTTTTGCAGAGCTGTAAACGCTTTTCCTCTGCACTCAAACTATATATATGCTTTATTGTATCACTGCATATACTTTTTTGGGTTTGTATACACACCCTTTTTTGATACAGCAGTAGGTCAAATATTTCACTGAAATGGTACTTACTGCACCTTTCATCCAAGAGTCTTGAAGCACTTCAGCTCTCATAACAGCCCTGTGAAGTGTAAAACCTGTTTTCCAGTTGAGTAAACAGAGGCACAGAATGGCTGAGTGACAAAGTTGCTGAGTGAGTCAGCAATAGAGCTGCGACTCCCCACTCTCTCACATCTAATTTTTAGACACATTCCCTCATCTACAGGTCATCTCAGGAAATGGAATGAGAGGATCATCTATTGTAACACAAATAGGACCTGAAGGACTGTAACACATACACAGAAAGTGAAGTACTTGGCATAAGTGAATTGGTTCCTCACTTTGCGGGCATGTCATTAAGCTGAAATACTAGCTGTAAGGCCTTCTCAGATTTTTCAATATGTGCTTTGTTGTAAGGCTCTTTTGCCTTAGTTGTCCTTACTCTCATGATAGGGCGGTAATTGCCATTTCCTAATGGTATGCGAAAAGGGCTTTCTCCGGTTTAAACCTGCTAGAGCATGTCTACATGGGGAAATATACTGCCATAGCTAAAATCTGGAATAACTCACCCTATGTACACTATTCCAGAAAAGTAACTCTTATTCCAGAATAGCAATAGTGGAATAGTTTCTTCTGTAGCTATTGCTAGTCAATTGCCCCACATAAACAAGGCTTTAGAAATAAGTGCTTAAACTCTTTATGGAGAAACATTGGTTCCCTTTCTCTTCAGGTAGGTTAGGTTTATTCAGTAACAAAGATGTTATCTTCAGACACTCCACTGCTCAGATCTGTTATTAATCTGAAATAATTGAATTAAAATTAACTATTGCCTTGATTCAAAAGTATGGTTGAAAGGCCAAAAAAAAAAAAATCAGTATATTTCTAGTTTTTGTTAATGATGCCAGACTCCTGTACAACCTAAGTAAATATTTTTACTGACCTCGTTCTTTAGTAGAACTTTGGACGCTAGATAGTTTAGAGTAGGGCCTGTTGTCAGTTTCCTTTTAGGCAAATTAATCCCTGGAACATCTCCAGTAAACTTCAGTGGCAACACAAAGGATGAATTTGACCCTTTATGGCTACTACCAGTTACTTCCCTACTTAGTCCTGACTTTTGCACTGCCTTGGCGTTAAATCAGTTTTGTAAGGAATGTTGAGATTACACAGGCTGCTTAGAATGGATTTTGTGGAGAACTTTTCAAAATCTGATGTCCAGTCAAAGTGGCCAGTGATGGAACAAAGATGAATGGGAGGAAATAATAGCACTAAGGATTTTTACTTTGTCTTGGAGGTAGCTGTCAAGTGAAATGAGGAATGAGGGTAGGAGAGGAGAGACACTGGGATGATATCCAGAAAAACTAAAGGGAGTGAGGTGACCCTAAGTTAAGTGATACTCCAGAGTAGAGATTGTTGTGCTACGTGACTAGCAGTTTCTTTAAGTTGGATCCAGGCCATTTACTGTGTGTTAAATAATGTAACTCTGCCTTTGCTCTACTACTAGTTTATTTTTCCTTAAAGGTTTTCCCAGAACAGTTCCACAGGCAGAAGCTCTGGATGAAACATGTCAGATAGATACTGTGATTAACTTGGATGTGCCATTTGAGACCATTAAACAACGGCTCACTGCACGCTGGATCCATCCTGGTAGTGGCAGAGTCTACAATCTTGAATTCAATCCTCCCAAAGATGTTGTAAGTGTTAAGCTGTAAGATGTAAAGCTAAGTGTGAGTTGTGATTGTATTTATCAAATGCACCTGTAACCCATTCTTTCCCTACTTCAAGCAGAGGTTCTCTGTACTGGAATTGTAATATGCATATTGTGGTACACTGAAATAGTTTGGAACACATGAGTGAAATCAAGAAGTGGATTCTTGAATGGCTGAAATGCAACAGAGTCCTTATAAGAGCATGATGGCTTTTCGTTACTGACTTTTGATATGCTTATCACAGGATGCTACCGGTACAATTTGTTGATTAAAGTATTTTTAAAACAATCCCAAAACTACTTGCTAGTATAACTCACAGGTCAAGTCAGCTTAATATATGATTAGTCAAAACTGTTAAGAGACCGCTTAGGTTTTAGTGTCCCTCATACCGTGGGCCAAATTCTGTCCTCTGATACACAAAAATGACTTCAAAGAGTGTTGCATGTGTGTAAGTGAGGGCAAAACTTGGCCCTATATCATGTAGGATTAAGTTCTAATGACTTCCACTTGTTAGCACTAAAGTCTTTTCAGTCTACTGCTGTTTTAAATCACTCAACCTCACTATTAAAAGGTGTAAAGTGCCTCCAAAAGAAATTGAAAGTGCAAGGTGAGGTTCAAGTAAAAACCTGCTGTTTAGGCCCATGTTCTGTTTGGTCATTCCCGTAAATGTTCTGCTCTGTTGGTTTTTATGCTGTCTGCTATACACTAGTCATTGTAACATCTCTTCCATATTCTATCTTCCAACCATATGGCCATGCTGCTCTTCACCTTTTACAAGCTGTTCTCAGAGACCATAAATCATATCTGCCTTTTAGTACTGCCAGTTGTCCATGACATTTCTGAAACAATTCTAGACATCCACCATTCTGCTCCACTATACATCAAGGGTCACTATACATAGGTTTCTGTTTTTAGTACATGTGACTTCACTGACTTGTGCTCCTCTACTACAATCTGAAAACAACAGCTACTCCATGCATCTGGAGTTTAAGTATGTTTTGTATACTGCTGAAAGTAAACATCTCACCGATAAGATGGATGGTAGCTTGTCCTCTACTTTAGCTAAGAGCTGTTTTTTCTTTGACTAACTAGAAATTGATACTAACAGAATAACACAAAGTCCACTTAAACAGAAATATAAAGTCATTTTGCTCTTAACCACAATTAGGGCCTTGATGATATTACCAGAGAGCCACTTGTTCAGCGTGATGATGATAAACCAGAGACTGTTACCAAGAGACTGAAGGCTTATGAGGCACAGACAAAGCCTGTTCTGGACTATTACCGGTAAGTAGTAAACAAACACTTCTCTCCACATTAGGATGAACAGGAACATTTCTCTTAAAATGCACAAATACCACATTGGTGAATGATATAACCACTTAGCATTTAAGTCACTTTCCCTCTCAACTTGTTACACAATAATAGTAAAAGTATAATGACATATGTTGGATTATGGGTAGATCTCCCTCCCCCCCATTTACTTGATTAAAACCTCTTTTCCAAGAGCACTTCAGGAACAAAAAGGTACAGTGATGTACAGCACCTTTTACTGCAGTCATAGGAAGCTTTACAGTAACAATCAAAATGATCAACACTTCAAAAGCAAGGGCAAGTTTCACAACCGTGGAGCTGTTTCAGTAGGTATTTCCTTCCCGGAACTTTCACTGTATCAAATATCTGCCAATATTTTTACCTCAATGGCTGGCCAAGGACTTAAGGTAGTAAAAGTTGCTAGGGGATAAAAGGCTAAAATCAGTAAGTGGCATGAGTGGGTAGAAAAACTTGTGAATTAATACAAAACATGAGTCAGATATTTTAAAAACAGGAGTGTGATGTGAGAATATGGTATACTGCATTGCAGGAGGAAAATGGGGAGAGAAAAGTAGTCAAGCTTTGGAATAGTTGATGGGTTTTTTCAAATCTGTCTCTTTAAGCACAGGTGCTCTAGTTAAGGTGCAGATATTTTATGAATACCATTGGGGCAATAGTGGATTCCCATGTAGATGTTTAGACATTTATCCCATTACTAAACTGACCTTTTGTCACTCAGAAATAGTCCCAAGCCTTTCAGTAATTCCCTGCATGTCTTGTACAGGGAGGGAGCGCTTTCTCTGGAGGGAAGAGGTTGAAGAGAGGGTACTTTAGGTCAGCAATGGTTTTACTGACTTCAGTGGACTTCCTTGGGGGCACAGGTGCATTGTAGGATAAGGGCCTATCTTATCAAGTCATAGTATGACAATGTACTCTGTAAAAATGCCATTGACAGAACATATATGTGGCAACTAAACAGTCACTCCCAAGGCAAATTCTATTTAAATCTTTACTCTGTTTACATGGTATAACTTTAAAATTTAGTGTTTTGCCCACTTGGCTATACAGAACAATGAAATTGTATTAGTATTTGATCAAGGCTTTTAGAGCCTGCTTAAGAGTAAAAGTACCTGCTTACCTTAGGACTAACCCTTCATTCTTTTACATTTTCTTCATAGTTCAGTAGTGACTACCTTAGAGCGCTTTTTCTCTTTTGGAATACACCAGATCTGATATGGTCACTAACTTTGCTCTCCCTTTCATGTGTACCACTCTAGAAACAAAGCATGAAACCTTTGACATACCTAGGTTCTTCTTTTAGAAAACAGACGGTTGCTCTTGGGGCTGAACTCTTACATGTCAACAATGTTGCCAATACCCCTCCACCAGGACAACCTTTGAAGTATTTTTCAACTCTGAAGTGGAGATACTGATTTGTCTATACTTGTTCTTTTGTCTCGCCTTTAGAAAAAAAGGTGTACTGGAATCTTTCTCTGGAACAGAAACCAACAAGATCTGGCCAACGGTGCATGCTTTCCTCCAAACCAAATTACCAGAAGTGAGCCAGCAGGAAGCTGCCCCACACAGATGAAGTTGGGTCTTTGTTGGTAAGCACAAGCTACCAGCTGTCTCCATTTTCAGAGTGATTGTCTAGAACATTAGAAACTTGCAAAAATCATGGTTTTGTTTTACTGTTTGATAGGCCAAACAGATCAGTAGCTAAGATCTAATCTCCAGCTGTCACCCCTCAGCTTTTCAACTTCGTGCATTCAGATTTTTCATTTCTGTATACTCATTTTAAAGCTGTATTTTTATATGCAATTTACCAAATTCTTGTAAAACGGTGACCAACTGTAATAAAAAGCAACTAGTTTCATGTCTGTGCATTTGCCAAAAAAAAGTCAGTGTCCTTTTTCTGAAATGCTGATCTGGATTTTTAGAAAATGAATTTGAGTAAAGGCACCAGCATTTTTTTTTCCTCAACATGATACATTAGGCAAGATGGCTTATAAAAACTCACGAGCAGAAGTGTTCAAAATTCACATTACTGTGTCAACTGCTCATGCTTACCAAGCACCTTTCAGCAAATGTAGAACAATGCATATTTACACTGTAGAAAAGATGCCGTTAGCTAGATACTGTGGATACCAAAGTCATGTAGTGAAAGTGGTGTAGCTGCAGGCTGAGTAAGGAAAACAGTAGTAACTCTCATTGAGAGCTGGTTACAGTTCAAACTCCTATAATTGTTTGTAGCAGGAGGTTGTCTTGATAGCCCCAAACTGGATCATTGTCAGAGGGTAAATCACACTCTGATAAAATCTGCAGATAAGTATCAGTGGTGTTACCAACAACAGTAACCCAATGCACCATTCTGCCCTCATGGAATTAATTTAACAGGCAATGGAAAATTAAAACTTTGCTTATAATCATGAATGTTGTACCTCACCTGGTCCGCTTTCATAAAATGGCTTAGGAAGATGGTGACCAGTCACTTTGAACAGTGCATAAAACTCATCTAGAAAACTTAATCCAAAACCCATTCAATGAAAGGGGAAAAACTTTGACAGCTGTAAGAGATTTAGGCACACTAGTGCAGAGCATACCAGACTTTATATTCAAAGCGATGAATTTGCAATGTGAGGTCAAGAAAAAGGCCAAGGTAACTTTGGCTACATTCCTAGCCCACAAGAAGATCATTCTCTGTAAGGATTGGTTCCCCCTATTAGCAGAGTGATAAAGTGAGTTCAGGAGAGCTACTGAATTACAATGGAAGAAAATAAGGCCAGATATTACACATTTAGTTGGACTAGATAACTACTCCAGCAGAAGCAGCATGTAGATCTAATTGCCTGAAGGAAGACTAATAATTTGGGCTTGTACTCTTAAGAGTAATGGAATGTAATTCAGAAGAGTCAAGTTTAGAACAAAATGTCAGAAAAATTTGCTCATGAGATCAATGAGGCTTTTGCCTGGCCTCTTATTTAACATAAGAAGCTATGCTTATTTGGGATACTTGATTAGACAAAGCACTAGAAAGCATACTAAAGAAAATGGGATTAGATATCTTATTTTCATGAATCCTGAACATTGACACTATACAATAGTCAATTAGGGGCTCTGGTCATCTTAAATTTCAGTCACACACAGCACTACAATAAAATGTTTTATTACAGAAAATTAAATCTCATTTCCAAAGCAGTGGGGGAGAATCTTGCCACAAGAGTATACCTTCAAGCTTCTTTGATTAAACATGTTAGCTATGTTTTGTCAAGCTATCTTGAAGCCTTTATTTATCCACATTTAAAGTTACAAAACTGACCTTTTTTGCTATTTCACTCTACCAAGTTACAATATTAACAAAATTCTGACTACCTAGTTGCACCTGGAAGAGTCCAACTGGTTACACTCTGGTTACATTTGGTATGGTAGAGTGTAACTTTAATCCTCAGTTAATGAGGTTATAGAGCAGAGATTAAAACAGTAGGGTAATAGTTTCTCCCATAAGATTAACAGAGATGAGTACGCTGCATGTTTTGGTGGTAGAGAACCAGCCTCATTCCCATTCCACACTGGACTTTGATGGCTGAGGTCAACAGCCCTCTGTAAGCTTGGCTCTTTCAAATACCAAGCAGTCCAGATTTTTGTAGCTACTGCTAGTCTTTACAAGAAACTCTCCTATCCATTTTTTCAGCCTTACAGACTCTGCTGATTTCATTTCCCTCAATCCCACTTCTTCAGAAACTGGTCAGCAAGATCTAGGTACAGAAGTCAATGTAATAATCACATCCAGATAGTTCAACTTTATGGAACTGGTGTAACTGGCAGCAGACCATGCTGCTCAGAGCATCACTCCTCGCTGGTGGTGATCCAATGAACAGGTCATCTAGCAGTAGTGCCAGTTTAAATACTTTACTGTAGGGTTTTTACTCCAAAGTATTAACACCACCTGTACTGACACGGCCTAAGAAAAGCATCTGAAGAACTTGGAAAGCTTTTCATTTGTTGTAAGCGTAAGGCTATTGAGGTAGGTACTATTCAGTTTGGGTCCTTTTCTTAAAAAAAAAAAGTAGTGACAAATTTTGCAGCCAGCAGGCTGTATGTCCATAGAGACACCTCTAGACATACACATGTTCCGTGGAGACAAGATTCCTTTGGACAGTTGCCTTAGCATTTCCATACAAAACCTTGATTTGTTCTATACTTCCATTTAACACCAGCATTACTGGGGTTTCTGGACCATTTCCAGACAAAAAGCAACAGCTCTTCCCACCTTTGCACTAGTCTAAATACACATTTCTTCACTTTCCCCAAGAACAGGATATTGGCTGCTCTTTCTCCAAGATGGCCCTGAGGCTTCTTACCCCTAGCAGAAGTGTGTTCTGTCCTTCACATGCCAGCAACATCAGGGCTTAAGCACCTACAGATGGAAGTTCAGTTCTTTCTACAAGGGAGGCTGCACGGTCACTGTAGGATACAGGGATTAACTGTGTTTAGGAGATGAACTACTGCATAGCTAGGTCATTTCTCATGCTGTCTGGTCATTTTGAGGGGGAAGTTAGTAAGAGAAATGACATGCCCTTTTGTGATCTTTTCCTCACTGTATTCCACTCACACTACTCAGCTGCAACAGGTTTTACAGTATTGGAGAATATACTCTTATAGTCTCTGCAGCTTTTGGCTAGAGCCTACTGAGAGCTGTTATCTTCTCTCAATAAGGGATTGCTAGAGAGATCACAAGTGTTTAAGCCGGTGTACTGGAGGCCTAAAATTAGAATGTGCCACTAAATGTGTTCCATATCAGAAAGGCGGGTCAGCCCCCTCATGCTAGTGGCTGACAGACATGCCAATGAAGTTCCAGAAAATGTTTTGAAGCTTGACTGTTCTCACCCCTAAATTCCCATCCATAAGGCTTCTGTAGTACTGAAAAGAAGAAATGCTCTTATGGTTCTCTATAACCAAGCATGTGACTGGCCTACTCCTCACATAACCTGAAGACAAAGGCCCAGATTGTGCTGGCCACAGTGGGGCAAAGAAGGGGACCAGAGAAGAAGTGGTTGCAGTTCTGTTTCTGGCACTAGTTCTGTGCCAACATTGGCGCCTGCACGTCTTAGGACAGGCAAGGGGCCACTCCAAGGTACAACTACTATCTGTGGCCATCCACTGGCACAGAAAAGCCAACTCACAAAATAGTTCTTCAAACTTGCTCCCTTTGCTTGTGGCTACAGAGGGACTGCATAGGAAGCTGGCCAGCAATGCTAGTTCTGCACCAGCCTGGGTCTTCTGTAGGCTGAGGAAAACTGGCTGCTTTCCAGCCCCTTTATGCCACTTAAGCAATGCAGAGGGGTTAGTAAGCAGTAGAGAATGTGACTCAAGAAGTATATATAAACTAATACATTGCTGCTTCGCTGTAAAAGGAGAAAATATCTAGGTATTTCTACTGTGGTATCAGGGAGGGTCAGTCCTACACTGAAATAGCCCAGATACACAGCAGCTGTATACACAGGTGAAAAAAATCATGAAAATAATTAGGAAAGCTTAATAGCAGTTCTGGAGTGCAAAGACTGTTATGGCAAAATTCTGGAAATATTAAAAAGTTTGACTTTTGCAGAGGTCTAAAGCAGAGGGCTCTTAAGATACTGCCCTATATATTGTTACTCTCAACAGTTAACCACTTGGCATCATTCAGCTGATACTGAAACAGAACTCTTCTTTCCTTTTAAACTGAGGAAAGCTTGAAAAACCACAACAAATCTGAATTATAAATCAATACTGTTCAGTCAGTGTTTGGCACTCAGGCTTTCTTCATTACTGGTAAGAAGGAGAGATCCTGGCTGCAGTACAATCTTATCCTGAAGTTGTTTTCCCCACCCTCAATCTCTCTCAAACAAAATATTTATTCACACTGGATCTTTGTTATGCAGCAGTAATATTTTAAATTAACACTAAATATTAGACAGAAGAATCAGCTTCTCAGTGACTGTGCTGCTGGAAATGCGGCTCAAAACTCACTTCTAAGCAATTATATACTTTGTCTCTAAATTGTACATAACTTGACAATCAGAAATAAGTACTTTGTCTGAAAGCATAAAGTAAAATTTTAATCCCTGTAGTAGAGGTAAAAAACCACTGCTTTAATTTGAGCCTCCAAGTTGATATCAGCTTTTGATTTATTGCTATTAATATGATAAAACTGGATTTGAGTGCTTACTATGTCAGCAGTATAGCATGAGTACAATTGTGATCTTTAGTATTCATAGAGCAAGACACATCCATGTCTATAATAAAAGACTATAGCAGATTCCAACTAGAATCAACCACTTCTCGTAAACATTGTATTTGTGCAGATTTGTTTGTCATACTTTGATTCCTAAAATTAAGAATAAAGGCAAGTTTAAGTAGCAGAAAAAACATCCAGTTTCACATTCGGTAACATATGAGAACCCCTCTCCTAAAAGGGAACCAAAAATCTAGCAGCACATTTTCAAATAAAATGACAAATGTGTTTCTGGATTACCCTCCTTCCAAAAAACAAATGCAAAAAATAAAGTGCAGCACCCAGAAAAGTAAGTGTCAAGAAAATAGCCACGTTCTTTTCTTTGTAACAAAAGTACTTGGCCTCGGTCTTAACAGTACTATATTGTGTCCATCATTTTGGGTTCCTCATCATCTAGGTGTACCAATGAGTTTAAATTAAAGAGACCTGTGTTTACGCAGCTTTGAAGAGAGTCTGCAGTCTGCAACAGAGGAGAAAACAACATTAATTCTACATAAGTAAATACTGAGATTCTAATATTGCATCTGTGGTCTGTTGCCTAGCTCCCTTTAAATTGTCTGCATCTCACACTCAAGACGCAAGTTTGAATGTGATGCATAAGGATTT